CCTCTTTCTTGCTCTCTCTCTCTCTTTCTCTCTCTTTCTCTCTCTCTCGCTCTCTCTCTCTCTTCCCTGTTTCTTTTCCTCTCTCTGTAGCGTGCTATCTGCTCAGTTTGTCGAATCTTCGTCTTCTTCTCTTCGTCCCTGTCAATGGTTTATCCGTGTACAGTTTGTCGAATCTTCTTCTCTTCGTCCTCCTTCTTGCTGGCTGTGTTGCGCGCTGGCTTTTCATCGGGTTGGCGCATTGCGCTGAAGGTTTATCGATTGTTGTGCTCCTTAGTGTTTCAGTCGGTCGGTGTGAGTGATGCACGGTGTGATCTTGCTCAGTGACTTGAGAGGTATTGATGATGTGGATGATTTTCACTTAACTTTTTCTTTTCATCTGTAAGCTGTTTTTCCAGTCTGCTCTCTTCCTCCCTCTCTTTTTAGTCTCTGTCTCTCGATTTATGCGTATCATCCTTGCGCAGGGGCCATGCTTATCTTCTCTATCTGTCTGTGTATCCCCTACCTCCTTCCCCGGAATAGAACGTAAGGCACGGTTGTCATGACTGTATTTGCTGCAACTTCTAGTCTAGATACATCAATTACGACCGTACGTTGTATTCGGCTGAAGATGGCAGTTTAAATTTCGGTCGCTCACTCTGAATGTGTCCCGATGGGCTCCCCTTCTCTTCCCTCCATTTGGCGCGCAGTGTCGTTTTTTTCCTCTTTATGTGTTTTGCGCAACACAGAAGAGACAAACTGTTTCGCATTGCCTTTATCTCTTTTGCTCGTCCTCGTCCTCGTTTTTTTTTTGTTTTTTTTTTTTTAAACACAAAAAAAAAACGCCAGTGTTAGTGGTGCTCTGATCAGAGCAGCCAACGTCCTTGTCCTTGCGTATCATAGCTTGGCACGCGAAAAACTGTCGGTCGACTCTTGTCTCTTCCTTCTGTGACATCTAATGTGTCCCTTTTCCTGTTGAAATCCTGTCTTCCTTCTGTCGAATGCTCCCACTTCCTGTTTCCCGATCTTCTCTGTTCCTTCTGCCAAACACATTTATTTATTTTTTTAATTTATTATTATTATTTTTTTAAAACACACACCCTCGTAATTATTATATTTCAAACCAATTAATCGTTGAGGCCGGGGACCTCACAATTCAACCCGGGGTTATCCTGGCAGCATCAGCCAGTTTAGCTTACGGTCCCAGCCGAACCGGGTCCTTCTGCCAAACACTTATTCCGTCGGTCGAAACATTTTTTCCCTTTTTTCGAAAAAACATTTGGACCATTTCTCAATTGATGCGTGTCATCCTTCCTGTATAGCAGGGGCCATCCCAAACTTCATTCTCTGTGTCGTTCCAATCTTACAGTAATTGGATGTCCCGAAGACACTTCAGTCGAAACTTCTCCGAATCTTCTGTCGCCGCGAATATTGGGTGTATCTTTCAATGTTCTAGCGGAAGATTCACTGCTCGCGACATGCAGAGAAAAATCATGGCGGTGTATCTTTCCCATGTTCTTGCGGAAGATTCACTCGCGTTTAGAGTAGTGGAGCGAGGCTCATTCTCTCTTCCTTGCCTCCGATCTTCTCTGTTCCCTTTTGCGAAACTTCTCCGTTCCTTCTGCTGAATCTTCTCTTTGTTCTATCCCCCACCCTCGTTGTGTGCCGCATTTTTGTGTCCGTTCTCTTCTTTGCGTATGGCTACCTTCTTCCCCCGAATACAACGTACGGTCATTATATTTGTATTTGAGGCATCTTTCAGTCTAGATACAGCTATAATGACCGTACGTTGTATTCGGGGGAAGAAGGTAGCTATGCGCAAGAAACTCAAATAAGTAAACTCATCCAAGCTGCAGGCACATGTACGTAGATGATACGATAATTTGCACGTTGTTGAAAATCAGATGGTACTACCGAAGTTGCCAAGCAAATAGCCATTCTCTCTGTCGATTGTTGCACGTGTTTTTTTTTTGTTTTTTTGTTTTTTTTCGCTCCGTTTCTGTTTCCCCTAAAGGGCGATGTGCCTTGAGATCTCACTCATCTTCGGAGTGACCAGCACCGCATAAATTCAGCGTTATTGACTTGTCTGAGTTTCGTCGTCGGGACTTGAACTGCGGTCTGTATTTCAACAGTTTATCATGGGTGTACCAACTGAGCTACAACGTACGACGGTAGTTATAGCTGTATTTGGGGTATCTTTCAGTCTAAATACAGTTATGCCGACCGTACGTTGTATTCGGGGGAAGAAGGTAGTCCCGTTGGTTTCTTTCTGCGTCCTTGGGCCGGCCCACCGTAGCAATCTTGGGGCCTCCTGCTCTTCTTTTTGTAGGTCCGTTGGATTCACAATCTAGTATCTGAAGGCAGTGAAGGGCATAAGGGGGGCGCCTTTTTTTCGTTTGCTTTTCTTAACAAGTAAATAATAACAATTCAGGTCCTGATGGGCCTGGTTCCATATGGGTTCTGGGCGCTGCTCAGTTTTTCTGTATGCTGAGTGGACCCGAGATCTCGGTGAACTCTCGAGGAATTCTCGGGGAGAAGCGGTCTAATCGTTCTTTTTTTTTTTTTTTTTTTTTTTTTTAATTTGACGTTGCCGGCAGTTTTAATGGCGACTGGTTTGTCGCCATTTTCTGTTTTTGTTTTTCTGTTTTTGTTTTTTGTTGGTTATAGGAAAAAGCTCGACTGTCTTGGGATATCATTATATCACCATTGATTAAAAAAAAAAAAAAAAGATATCACCATTGAAGTGATCTGCCCGAGGTAGGTCCGACTCTTTTCATTCCGTTCATCTGATTGCCCTCTGGATTCGAACTACCGTCTTCACCCGAATAGAACGCCCGGTCATTATAGCTGCATTTGGCACAATTTTCAGTCCGATGCAGCGATACTTACCGGGCGTTCTATTTGGGTGAAGACGGTAGGGGTCTGTATTTCAACGGTTGATGGGTGTACCAACTGCGCTAGGCTATCAATGGCTGTCGCTGTCTTATCATCTCACGCAAGATTCGTCTATATTTAGAAAATTTAAGTACACATTTATCCTACTCTATGAAATAAGAGGTGGTTTAATCGGTTTTCACATTGTTGGTGTAAATCGGTTTCACATTGTTCTCATCTTTTTTGGTCCATTTTAGACAATTTAGTACACATCTACCTTATATCTATGGAATAGATATGGTTTAATCTGTTTTCACATTTTCGTCTTTTTTTTTTGGTTGTCTATATATATTATCAATTTTAGTACGCATCTATTTTATATCTATGGAATAGAGGTGGTTTAATCTGTTTCACATTTCGTCTTTTTTTTTTTTGGTTATCTATGCATCTATCTTATATCTAAGGAACCGAGGTGGTTTAATCTGTTTTCACATTGTTATCTTTAGGAACGATTGAACAGAGGTGGTTTAATCTGTTTTGACATTGTCGTCATCCTTAGGAACGATTGATCCCTTCGCTATCGTCTTTTCATCTCACTGTCATGAATTTATCCAAGTATCTTCCGTAGTTTTTTTTTTTTCCCTTTGTCTGAAAAGGACGCTTGGGTTTTCCGCAGTTTTATACCTCCACTATTTTTCGTCTATACTTCAAATAGAATTAGAAAAATTTATACCGATTTATTCTATGGTTCCTATCTATTTGGTTGATGTAATTTTTTGTTGTCTCTCCTGCCTGTCGACCTAATCTTGTCATTTAATCGAATCTACGTCTATCTCTATTTATCGATTTACGTCATCTAGCACTTATCGATTTATTTTACTTTATTTTATTATTATTTTTTCTATTAAATTGGCGGCTAGTGTTAGTAGGGTGATAAGAGCATCCCTGCCTATCAGCGTCCCCAGTTGCTCCATCTATTGGTGGAGCCTTAACCCATTCAAGATTTCCATCTATTGGTATACCCCATCTATCCTAATCGAATCCACATATATCTCTATCTATCGATTTACCTCTAGTACTTGCCGATTAATTTTTTTTTTCTTTTTTTTTTTAACTGTCGGCTAGTGTTCGTAGGGTGATAAGAGAAGCCCTGCCTATCAGTGTATCCAGTTGCTCCATCTATTGGTGGGGGCTTATCCATTCAATATTCATCTAATGATATACCTATCTATCCTAATCTAATCTACGTCTATCTCTACGTCTATCTCTATCCATCGATTCATCTGATCTGTTACTTAACGATGTATTTTTTCTTTCGAACAGCAGCCGCCGGTTTTTTAAAAAACAAAGTAAAAAAAGTTAATCGGTAAGTACTAGGTGAGGTAAATCGATAGAAAAAGATATGCGTAGACTAGATTAGGATAGACAGGGTATACCAATAGATGGAATCTTGAATGGATAAGGCCCCGATCAATAGATGGAGCAATTGGGGACGCTGATAGGCAGGGATGCTCTTATCACCCTACCTACTAACAGTAGCCGCCAGTTAAAATAAAATAAAGTGAGTAAGGAGCCCCCTGGTTCGTTCAAAAAAAAAAAAAAAGACTGATTTATCTGTCATTATCTTATCATCTGACTCGCATTTATCCGAAAAAGATTTTTCCTTGGTTCTCCAATAGACTGATTTGTCACCTCCCCTGGTCGGGGAGCTTGGTTTGTTTAAAAAAAAAAAACAAAAAAAAAACAGACTGATTGATCTGTCATTATCCAGGGGA